CTCAAACTTTTCCCAATTTACTACTTTGACCATCAAACTTTCAAAATTTACATTTTGGTCATTAACCAAAATTTGGGGTATTACATAATGTTTTTAGAAGCACGACTTGCTGTAGGGCAGCAGGTTGCTCAGTAACAACCCAACTAAAGGCGAGTGCAAAATGGTAATACCCGCCTGAAGTTAAACTCGGACGGAGTCAAGAAGACAGATTCGAGTGCGTTAGCTTGCAGTGGAGTCCTTCCAGTCTCAAATGGTAGATGGATTAAAGGGTATACTAAGGCGATTGAGTGTTGGACGCGGAACTCTAGGTAGTGTATGTAGTATAAATTGAAAGAATAAGGGTATACACAAGGTAGAGGAATGGATCGTATATACGCAATGGTACACATATTATGGATCTTTTGGTACGAGAATGACATCAGAAGTTTGCATATGCCCTTAGAGAACAAAATTCAATGGCTGATAAGCTATCAAAAATGTCTTGATCGCGACCCGTTGGTTTTTACATATTAGATCATCCTTCGCCTGTTATCTCCATGCTGCTGCAAGAGCAACTGTGCAATGCTTCTGATTTTAGTTACGTCATTTTAGTAGTAAAATATACAGTCGAAATGAAAGTTAAAAATACAAAACTGAAGAATTAAATCATAAAAAGGTAAAATTTATTATTGAAATTAAGATGAATTACATTCTTATAAAAAGATTAAAATTAAAAGAATAAGTCGAATTAAAATTTATCAAATTTGAGTGAAGGTTATCTTTAATAATATCATGTGTGAATGAGACGAATTCTTATAAAAATGTTGTAGAGGAAGCGATAGTATTAGTAGGACATTGCATAAATTTAATTATTCAATTTAAAAATTTAAATTGTATAATTGAGAATATAATATAGTTTATAAGAAGAAAGATAAGGGTTGGTAAGCGATATTGTGCATAGACTGGCAGCAACGATGCCTCCTCAGTAGAATTGTAGAATAGATACGCTGGGCTGGAAATGGAGTGCTCATCAGAATTTCTCAATCAAATCAGCATACAATTTGAAGCGGGATTGTCAAGGTGACGATACACATAAGGTATGGGACGTTATAGCGAAATACCGAGGGTTACAGAGGATTAATGTAACATCCGCAATACCGGGTTAGTGACCAAATTGTAAAGTTTCAGAATTTGGTGACTAAAGTAGAAGAATGAAAGAATTCAATGATTATTTGAATATATATATTGAAGGTTATTTGGTAATTATTAAAGGAAATTAAGGGTATTATGGTCATTTGACCAGAAAGATTTTTATAATTTTTTTTAAGGTAATATAAACGTGGGACATTTGAGAAGCATCCAGAGTTCTCTGCTCCTTTCTTCTTCTTCATACGTGGGAGAGCAAGGCAAAGGTAAGTTTAATTTAAGTTGGTTAATTCTTAAGTTTTAAGCTTAGTTTTGATTCTTTGGGTATTAAATAAGCTTAAGGAAAGCTTATATGTGATTTAAACAATAAGATAAAGGAATTATGAAGGAATTTGCAATATGAGTTTTAAGATGAAATTTTGATATGGTATGGTTGTTGAAGTTTTATGGATGAATTTGACTTGTCATCAATCTAATTAAGAAGTATGAAGTGTTAGAATTGGAATTAGAACACATTGAAAATTTGGTATGATTTTTGAATCTCATATGGAAGATAGGATTTTGAGGTTTAAGATGAAATAAATGAATATAGATTGATTTAAGTATGTGTACTAGAGTTAAGAATGAAAAGGGGATGATATATGAAGTGTTTGAGAGAAAATGAAGTAATTTTCGGGCTAAAATATGATTTCTGGGCAAGGGGAATCGGTACCCATTCAAGGGGAACCGATACCCCTTCAAACGAACAACATTTCCAGAATGTCATTAGGGAATCGATACCCCCCTTAGTAGGGAACCGATTCCCCCTAAAGGAAAAATGTGCATATTGGTTTAATAAGTTCGTTTAAGTTGCTAGTATCCAATTACAAGGTGTAGGTATCTAATAATTGTCTTAAAATGTATAATTATGTAGATTCAGAGCCTAAACGAGTTCCGGAATCATTGACAAGTAAGATCGATAAAAAGGGAAGATAAGAGATTGGAATGGACTAGTGAGGCCAGGTGAGTGCATATTAGTATTATATGATGTTAATGGAAATAAGACTTGCAACAAGTCTATTTCCATAGTAAATGCATGAATTCATAAATAGAAGTATATACGTGTATGATTTATATGTTTGACATATTATTGTATATATTATATGGTTGATGTGAATATGTGATATGTTATGATGATATAAGAATCTCTTACAAGATATATGATATGAAAATATGATAATGAGCTATGTGAAAGAACTATGAGTTATATGGATAGTATATGCGAACAAGATATGACATCTATGTTTATATGAAACAATGCAAGGTGATATGAGCTGTGTGAGATATGAATATAAAATCATATGAGAAGTGAAAATAATTACATGAAAATAGACTAAGTGATTACATGTATATGTGAAAGAAACTATATGATACGATCTATGTGATTACATGCAACATATGATATTAGATATATGTTTACACATACATGTGGTATGTGATAGAAGAGAAGGAACATGTGATTATGAGATCAATGATTACACGTACATGTGATACGTGACTGAAAAGAAAAGATATGTGTTTATAAGAGAAAGAATATGAATTAGTAATGTGAACTGTTATAAATGATAATGCCCATGTTATGTGATATGAGAGCTAGGGTATAGTTGGCATGCCAAGGGTCGAGGGTTTACCTATGTTCTTCGGGACATATGGACTGTTTACCTATGTTCTTCGGGACATATGGACTGTTTACCTATGTCCTTCGGGACATATGTACTGATTACCTAGGTTCTTCGGAATCTATGGACTGGTCCTTCGGGACATTTATCGAGCTGTGGTGACAGCATATGTGTGCACAACCTCAATGTACTCACATACCTTAAGTTCTCACTAGTGTACATGGGCTAATAAAGTGATTAAACAAGCATACTGAATGTGATATGTATACGATGGGTTTAAGTGGTTTGAAATGTGTTACGTGAACCATATGATGTTGTGTGTGTACAGTGTTTGATTGAAAAGGTTAACAATAAAAGTATGTGATTACATGATAAACTGTTAATGATGAATTATGTGTATGTATGTATTTACTGTAATTAATCTGATATGATTTTATATGATACGAAGAATGCATGGAATTGGTATAACATGATAGAACAGAACATGCATGTATTGATATATGTTATGAAGTGCATTATAAGTCGTTATGCCTCACTAAGTCTTCGACTTAGCGTGTGATTGTTTCACACGTAGGTTTCGAGAAGAGTAAAGAGTAATGCGGAGCAAGACAGGTCAGTTTTCCTTACCAAATGTCAGATCAGAAAATATATGTACTGTATAGAGTGTAGTTGGCATGTAGTCTAAAGACATAAATTGTATGAACTCTGATATATATTTTGTAAACGTTTTGAATAAGTTAAATGTTATCAAAGTTTTTAAATTACTCACTATTTTATACGAATAAATGTTTGAAAAGTCAATGTGACACTTCGGACTCGTATCCGGATCGGATACGGGTTGGGGGTGTTACAATTAAGATCTTCTTATGGTTATTAGTGAAGGATCGCCTACTTACGAATACGGAAAGAGTAAGACGCCATATGACCACTCATTCTTGCTATGGAATTTACGGGCGTTCGGGTGAAACAACGGATCATCTATTTCACCAATGTCAATCATCCATGTTAATTTGGGCATCAAAACTGAAAAATTAGATGATTTTTTCACAAGAAATCTTAAAGAATGGGTGCAGATTAATATCGCTTCCACGGGGTTTTATGCGAGAGAATAAGGGGATTGAGATTTATTGTTTAGTTCGATTATGTGGTTAATTTGGAAGGATCGGGATAGGAGGATTTTTGACCCGGAGTACATTGAGAATGATTATGTACTAGTGCGGGGTAGGCGACTAAGCCGTGAAGCTAGAAGTGCATTAGATTCAGCCTTATCATTAGCTCAATCTTCTCGTCGTTTGTTGAATACGATTGATCCTTGGTCTCGCTTCCTCTCAATTGGTGTAAGGTTAATATTTATGGTTCCCGAAAAATAGGTGATAGATTTGCTACGTGTGGGGGTGTTATTAGATCTTGGAATGGTGGTTAGATGCTTGGATTCTCTAAAGCGATCGGAATTTGCTCTATTGTTGAAGCGGAATTGTGGGGTATTCATGAAGGACTTTCTCATGCTTGGAATCTTGGGGAGAGGCAAGTAATGGTGGAAACTGATTGTTTGGAAGCTGTTCGAATGCTGCAGGAAAGTTATAAAAAAGCTTCGATCATCACGCTCCTAGATTGTGTTAAGGGGTTGTTACATCGGGATTGGAATGTGGTTTTGAAGTATATTCACCGGGCTGCAAACAAGGTGGCTAATACGTTAGCGAAGTTAGCTACAGCGAGGGGCGAAGTCCACATGGTTTTCAACACTCTGCCAATGCAAGTCATCAACTTGGTGTAACAGGAAGCTGCTGGTTGTGTATTGACTCCAGGGGCGGATGTATGTGGCTCTTTAGAGGAGCCACTGCACACTCATTATTTTGAGAAAAAAATATTAAATTTAGTTTAATTTGTTAATGAAAATAGAAAAAAATTAAAAAAAAATGCATACCCAAATTTTTTAGAATATAAACATTAAAATTTTGGACACTCATTTTTTAATTTCTAGATTCGCCACTACAGAGTTTTAATTCGTGTAACTTTTTCATCTTTATTTCATAAAAAAAATAAGGGTTGGTAGGTGTTTGTCAATAATATGTCTACAAAATTTGAGTTTATTTTCCCTCTTTAATTTGTTTAATAATTGAAGATGAAACAACAGGAGACAAAAATATCACGTGGCTGGCTGGGGATGCGGATAAGCCAACTCAACAGTCACCACTACTTCTAGCTGATCTCCAATTCTCAATTTTCACTCCTCCCCCTCGTACTTTAAAGCAGATGCCATAGCCAAAACCCAACTCTCTAATGGAAGGTCGGAGATTGGCCCTTCTCTATTCCCATCTTTGCCCCTCCCCTTCGCCCTCTCTTCTACCCCTCTCAATCGTTTCTCCTTCCGCCTGCGCTCCCTACAGGAAAGAATCCCTTCGAGACGACTGCGTTTTCTGCCTAATTATTCGCGGCGAATCCCCGGCTTTCAAGGTTTTTTCTTCTCTATTTACTTGTTTTTCAGCTTATTTCTCTAAATTTTTGTTTTAATTTTGTTTTATATATGTTCACATTTAAGCAGCTGTATGAAGATGATATGTGCCTGTGTATATTGGATACCAGGCCTTTGAGTCGTGGGTAAGGTATCATCTTTCTATTGTTACTGCAAAATATTTGACTTTTACCATCTCAAAACTAACTCTCTTGTTTATGATATTGGAATCTGACCTCTGGTACGGGTTAGTTCTATTAGTTCATCGTACCATTCTTAATTCAATTGATTTGGTTGCTTCAAAGTGAAATGAATCCAATTAATAATTGCCTATTTGGTAAAATAGTGTTAGTGGTTGGAAAATAAGAATCAAGGGTAGGTGAAGTGTGCATTTGACTTCAATATGAATAGCAAGGAAAAACAAAAACCATGGGCAGATTTTAACTTCTTAAAAAAAAACTATATTTATGTCACATTCATTTCGGATAAAATATTTTATTTTTTAAAATGTACTCTTAAGATGTATGTGTTGCTTTACTAATCCAACATGTCGAGTGTAAAAGCTCTCTTGGCAATACCGGAATAATTTCTTTCCAATGTATATTATCACTCTGTTGAACTAATATGTTTAGCTTATCATTGCATGTTGAACTTTGTTGTTGTTTCCTAGGCACTCTCTTATTATCCCAAAGTCTCATTTTTCCTCTTTGGACGCAACTCCACCATCTGTAAGTTTGCTAGACATTGTTTGTTGTTTTCTTCAAGCAGTTGTGCTCACTTTTCATTATTACTGAACATTGTGCAAAGGAATTTTGATTGGATAAAAACTGTTATACATATTGGTGAGTAGATAAAAGTATTCACATGTGCAGTTAAAAATTGTTCGAGACGACTAAACAATGCCATTAATGTCCAGTGTTTCATTTCAGACTGATTTTGCTTCTTGATTATAGAAAGTGGATTCATTGGTTGTTACACATAGCAACCAAGTTAACACAAGCTGCAAAATTTTATTAAAGCTAAGATCTAAAACGCCATTAATGTCCAGTGTTTCATTTCAGACTGAATTTGCTTCTTGATTATAGAAAGTGGATTCATTGGTTGTTACACATACCATCCAAGTTAACACAAGCTGCAAAATTTTATTAAAACTAAGATCTAAAACTTTTAGTTTTGTTCTAGGTCTATGCAAACAGTGTTTATCATGCATGTAGTTATGTGCTCTGCATTATCCATGTAAACATGCTTCCATTTATATAAATTTCGTGGACTAAGTATCATACTTTGCAAATTTGAGATTGCTCAAACATGTTTTTGGAATAAATCATATTTTTAGTCTCTCTTTCATGTGTCTTTCGAGGAACCTTCAGGTGGTAGCAGCGATGTGTTCAAAAGTGCCTTTCCTCGGCAATGCAATCATGAAAGCTACTGGTTCTGGTAAGTGCTGAAGTGTGTTTATTGCAGCTTTAATCTACACATATCAGTTTTCTTTGAAGTTATTAGACTAGATATAGTAATATATGTTAAATTTGCCTTCAATTTCGCTTGAAATTTGTGGCTTTTGAATTATGATTATCCAGAGTCATGACCCTAAGCTATATATTATATCTTATATAGGGTTAGAAGATTAAAACTAGCTTAAGACACTATAAGAAACAACTGTGACTAAAATTACTTTGTTGACGAAAGCAATATTGTTCCAATGTTACTTAAGTCATTTCACATGGTTTTCTTGGAGCTAGGCAACAGACATGATATGGGCAGCGCATCACTACCATTTAATGGTACAACTGGTCTGTATTTGTTTGTTCATCCTCATTCATTCTTCATAAAATTATTTTGGAAATATTAATGGTTGAAATATATAAATTTCACCACTATGATAAGTATATGTCTCGATATAAGTATATCAGTGGCAGCAATGTTGGTTTTCCACCATGAAGTAGGTTGGGGTTTATTTGGACGCAACTTTATTGAGTCTACTCTAGAGAAGAACTGTGACTGAAATTACTTTGTTGAAGAAAGCAATATTGATCCAATGTTACTCAAGTCATTTCACATGGTTTTCTTGTAGCTAGGCAACACACACTAGGGGTGTGCAAAACTACCTGACCCGCAGACCCGGACCTAAAAAAACGGGGTAATTTTCTAAAAAAAATTACCCGGCCCGACATTTTCCGGGTCGGGCCCGGGTCACAAAATCTAGTTTTTCCGGTTACCCGAGTACCCGGTTAGTTTTTATTTTTTTTATTATATATATATATATATATATATATATATATATATATATATATATATATATATATATATATATAGCCGTCTCCTCCGTCGTTTCATTTCTGGTATGAATGACCAAAACCACTGTTTTTTCTTTTTCTTACAAAACAAAATTACAGACACATATCTGATGCAGAGGCTAATCGTGGGGCTACATCTTGTTCCATGCATGTAATGTTTTTGTCGGAAACATAACCCAGAATTGAATGATAATAATTTCAACATCAAAGTTCATAAATACAGTATGTGACAGATGTAAAATATACTATATGAATTTAGAAAATTAAATGGATTATACATAACAATGTTATTGTTTTTAATACCGACTATAATATAATGAATTATTTATATTATGAATTATTAGATTTTGTGTTTCGAATTTTTAAATTTTATGTTCGGATATTAGAGTATATAATTTGAAGTTTCGAACATTTAAATTTGTATATATTTTTTTAAATTAATAATTTGAAAATAAAAAATAAAAAAAACCGGGTACCGGGTACCCACAAAATAATCGGGTACCTGTAACATCCGGGTCGGGACACGAGCCGAGAAATCATCGACCCGGAAGTTCCGGGTACCCGGATTTGCACACCCCTAACTCACACAATATAGGCAGCTTCACTACCATTTAATGTTACTTAGAGGAAAATTAGTTTATCAAACAGAGTTACCATGTTTACCAACTTTGTAGTTTGTGTTAAATATCTTTGTTAAATGTAGATGACAATGTATTTATACGTGTTGGATTTGATGTAGATGTCATGAATCATATCATGTAAATTAACCTTGGAAGTTCCAATGCGCAGATTCATTCAACTTGTTGGTTAACAATGGTGCAGCTGCGGGTCAAGTTATATTTCATGTAAGTTGAAGGCCCTTCATTTCCCCTTTTGTGGATGCTTGCATCTAGAGTAGACAGAGAAGGTAGTTAATGTCTCATGGCAACTAAAAGAGATATATTAATTTCAGACACATATTCACATAATTCCCCGTAAAGCAGGTGATTGCTTGTGGACCTCTGAGGTATGCTTCATTTGCTTTCTTATTTACTTGCATATGGGAAAAAACGGAAGTAGGGTTTCGTTGGAGTAAATATGACATGCTTCTAGTTTTACAGAGTTTGCATCGGTGTCCTCTGAAGATAGACCTGGAAACTTCAGGTCTTGCGAATCATGTTCGAGAATTGTTGCTAAACGTTTCCGGAGAGAGCAAAGATCAAGTGTCAACTGTGTCTTGAATCTTCGTGGTATCATAATATAAAAACATATACCTTGTGGCTTGATCTTATGTACCATAGAATAGAAGTAGATAGTTCATTCTTTCAAGAATCTCGTCGGTCCACCACCATGTTGTGATTTTGTTTGTTCAGTCTAAGTTGGAAGCTTGTTGTTTCAGTATCTAAAACCTATTAAAATGTTAGATTTTTTTCTTTTATCATCAGTTTATAAGAAATCATTTTACGTTTCCATTGTTGCCTGGGCTACTCCAAAGACTGGTTCTTATTTCAAAATTTAGTAGTCATTGTAAAACCAAAAAGAAGTGAAAAAGAAAGGTTGTAGTTTGAATTGTCGTGCCCGTTGCCCAAACCGTAAAGAAGCAAACAGTATTGACGTTCGCTTTCCCTAGGGTCTGGGAAATTCCTTGTTACTTCGGCTGATAATACGATAATTTCTATTGTTAGAATATTATTACAATTTTTAGGCTTATATCACAAATTAGCACCTAAAGTTTATTATCTTTTTCATTTAAGTACTTAAAGTATTTTTCGGTCAAAATAGGTACCTAAAGTATTTTTTGATCAAAGTAGGTATATAAAGTATCAATTTTTTTCATCAAAATACCTAAAATATTCTTTAATTAATGTCACACGTCAACTTTTTTAGAATTTAGATGAGAAAATTGAATACTTTAAATACCTATTTTGACCAAAAAAAAAATAAATTTAGATACTTATTTTGATAAAAAAAAATTGCTTTAGATATTTAGATTAAAAAATGAAAGAGTATATTTTAAATATTTATAATATAAGCCAAATTTTTAAATAGCAAGCAAATATGTCAGAAGGCATTGAACAAATTATAAGTTTTGGAGAATTCTATGATCCATGTTGATTATTTATGGAGATCCTTAAATTTTTTTAATATTTTCTTCCGAGATATTTATGGATAATTTCATAATTTAATTTAATTTAATTTAAACTAAACTTTTATAATGGGTTAATTATGGAGAGGTCCTTAAACTTTTTAATATTTTCTTGATAAGGATAATTTATTTAATAATATATTTAGGTATATAACATTAGTGATATTTTTCGGTGTGCGACGTTCGCTTTATTAACATCCATTAATTTTGGTGTAACTATTTGAGTTTTCCTACTCCCAAAAATTTATCTTCTCTTTAGTAAGATAGTAACATGTCACTATTTTATTGGTATAATAAAATTATTAAAAAATAACATATTAACTGTTGACGAGAGAAAAATGACGTGAAAAATAAAAAATATATAAGCATTGTGAATAATGATTTTATTAGAAAAGTAATTCGATAATCAAAATAGGAAAGAGACAATAAGTTGATGACTAAGCGTATTTTACCCTTTATATTAAAACCTTATTTAAAATTAACATAAAAAATAACTAACAAGTGATTTAATAGAGTGAGTCACTAAATCTCAAACCCTAAGTAAAATTAAAAATTTGGATCATAATATTATATATAGAGCAATAGAAAAATCATCATTATAATAAATCTTTTTAATATTCATTTTAAATTAATTCTCATAACGATAATTACATCAAAAATTTAAAAATTTTAAAGAAAAAACCCTCGCCGTATTTGAGGTGACTTAAGTATACATGTACCGAATTTTAGTTCCAATGAAATAAATTTCAACGAACTGCACAATTTGATATTTCAGAGCTTTATAGTCTTTTTTCAAGATTGCATTGGCAGTTGGCACCACCCTATCTAGAAAATAAGAAACGGGTCATGATGATTGACCTCTGAAATTGCATAGAAATATCCTTTTGTTTTCCTTAGTTTCCTCTATAAAATTCAATCAAATGATTCAAACAGGAACAAAAGAAACAGAAATGGTTTTGAGATTTGTTTCAAGCTTCACTTTCTTGCTTCTGCTAACTACCCATGCAGCAGTAGCACGTAATTCCTCAGCTATTCCTACAGCCATTTCTACAGCAAAACCTGGGTGTAAAGGCAGATGCGGAAGTGATATTGTTCCCTTCCCTTTTGGAATCGGACCCGATTGTTACTTGAATTCATGGTTTGAGGTCACTTGCAATGAAACTTCAACCCCTCCAACAATTCTATTGAAAAGAATAAACATGGAGGTCTTGAGTTTCCTTGATTATAGCAACACGTACTTTGAGATCGAACTTCTCGTGAGGAGTCCAGTAATTTCAATGAATTGTCCGGGCAGGAAAACCGATAACAAGCAAGGGTGGATCTAAAAGGCAGCCCTTTCTTCTATTCGGAGGCGAGGAACAAGTTCATAGCCGCGGGTTGCGACACCAGAGCTCTCATAGCAGGAATTAAGCCTAAAATTGTAGGGTGTGATTCGGATTGTATCAATGGCGAAACACTCTTCGGTACTATTCCTAACAAAACCTGCAACGGTAGTACGTGCTGCGAGACTGTGATTCCGTCGTCTCTCGATACGTTTAATGTGACATTCGAGAGTGAATCCAAAGGATGCAAGTTGGCCTTCGTGGCTGATCAACAATGGTTGAACTTCAATTTAACAAACCCCTCTGATTTGCAGAATATGGAGTTTGTTCCAGCTTGGCTTGATTGGTCATTACCACTTATATTTGAATTATTAAATACAAGTACGAGAGAATATTCCTGTAATTTAGTCATGAACACTTCGGGAGACATATCAACAGGGCTTTGTTATTGTCGATCTGGCTATGAAGGGAATCCATATCTTCGTGGTGGATGCAAAGGTAAAAAAGAAAAAAAGAAAGAATGAAATTATCTTCTCATCCCAAGTTTGATTGTTTATTGAATTCGTTGTATTGTTATTATTCAGATATTGATGAATGCGTGGACGAAAGACATCAGATGTGTGCGGACGCGACTTGTGTGAATAAACCTGGGTCTTATTCATGTGAAAGAAGCAAAACTTGGACTATTGCTTTAGGTATAAATTAACAGCCTTTTCCCCATATTCAGTCTAAATCAACGTAGATTTTAGTGATCACTGTGCCACCTAATTTAATGTTGTCGATATATTTCAGGTGTGGGATTAGGGTTTGGAGTATTGTTCTTAGCGATTGTTGGATGGGTGTTGTACAAGTTTCTTAAGAAGAGGAGGAAAGCGAAACTGAAAAGAAAGTTTTTTAAACGTAATGGTGGGTTATTATTACAGCAACAAGTTCATTCATACGAAGGCAGTTTAGAGAAAATCAAGATATTTACCTCCAAGGAGTTGGATAAAGCAACAGACAATTTCAACAAGAATAGAGTGCTGGGCCAAGGCGGACAAGGCACCGTTTTCAAAGGGATGTTGGTTGACGGAAGAATCGTTGCGGTTAAAAAATACAAAGCCATGGCTGCTGAAAAAGTCGACGACTTCATCAATGAAGTCGTCATTCTTTCTCAGATTAATCACAGAAATGTGGTTAAACTACTGGGATGTTGTTTGGAAACCGAGGTTCCGTTACTCTTTTACGAGTTCATTTCCAATGGCACGCTTTTCCAGTATCTGCATGACCAGAGCGAGGAGTTTCAATTATCATGGGAAACACGGCTGAGGATCGCCCAAGAAGCTGCCGAGGCCCTCGCGTATCTGCACTCTTCGGCCTCGATTCCGATCTATCATCGAGACATCAAGTCGACGAACATCTTGTTAGACGAAAAGTTCAAGGCGAAAGTATCGGATTTCGGGACATCGAGATCGATCTCTATCGATCAAACTCACTTGACCACACATGTGCAGGGTACGTTCGGGTACTTGGACCCCGAGTTTTTCCAATCAAGTCAATTCACCGAAAAGAGCGACGTCTATAGTTTCGGGGTTGTCCTTGTCGAGTTACTGACCGGCGAAAAACCGATTTTACAAGGAATGGCGGAAGAAGGGAGAAGTTTAGCCACACATTTCATTGAATCAATGGAAGAGAAGCGAGTGGTGGAGATTGTCGATGGACGGATTGTGAAGCAAGCAAAAAGTGAAGAGGTGATGATGGTAGCTAAGTTGGCTTACCGCTGCTTGAATTTGAGCGGAAAGAAGCGACCGACAATGAAAGAAGTTGCTATGCGGTTAGAGCAGATTCTGCCATTGCCAAACCCAAAGGATTCAAATGTTGATCATCATCATCACAACCTCAAAGAGATGCACTATTTAAATCTGGATTTGCCTTTCCCTTGGGACTCGGCTTCTTCTTCGACAGATTCTAAATTTTTCTCTAATAATACTTACTCCCTACAAAATGAACCACTTGTTTAATTTTTTTTAAACGTACTATATTTGTTAAAATGAAGATTTACAAAATGGCTTCATTTCCCGCATAATTTTTATCAAGAAAAGGAGAGGAAGCATTTTCTTTGTGAGAAAAGAAACGCAGATCAATTGTCGTCGCCAAAGAGTAAAACCAAAGATTACAACTTTACTTTCCTGTTGGTTAAAGTTTATAAGAAAGAAAGAAAGAATGCGGTAGCCAAACTAGCGGAGCGATTCAAGACAGTTATTTCAAGAAAGGCCTTTTTGGACTGATGCTTATACTGATGTACCCAATTTCCCTTTCTTCCATTCTTGTCAATTCCTCATTTGTTACTCTATAAGTTTCTGAATCTTTTTCTTTATAATTATCTTTGGAGTTTAAAGGCGATTTCTGTATGCCCTAATGTTGCTGTGAATTGGACGAACCGCGCTCTTTTCAATCTCTGGACGAAGTACGTACGCTCACTAAATTATTTCTATTATTTTCTTGAAGAAAGAGACTTTTTACTGTCTCTATTTGCTGTGAATTGGACCGGTTCGACCGATCGGAAGAACATGACGACGTCATAATTATTAAAAAAAATTAAATAAAAATATAAAAAATATTTAATAAAAAATAATTTTTTATATCACAAGTCATATTCAAAGCAAATCATAACATATATAAGTTAAAAACCATAAAATCAAGTGAAACAAAATGATTCAAATTAACTACAACATAATATTTAAGGTAAAACATATTGAATAATAAATATAATTATATAACTATAATTAAAAAATAAATTTGGGGCTAAAAAAATCATAACAAAATGATATTGTTTGGTTTAATTTTTTTTTTAAAAACAATCCTACATGGCTAAGAAACATAGAAGAGCATCCCAACTAACTTCTATAAATAATAGAGGTAATTTGACATTCAAAATCATGGAGCCTTTTGGTGAGCATTGAGTGAAATATTCTTTCACTTTAATCAAGTTCGAATTTTAGGCTTCAATCGAGCTTCTAAATTTTTTTTAGTTCAAGTCTTTTCGAGTTCAAGTTTCAATATTATATTTCGAGTTCGAGTTCAACTTGATAATTTTTAGCTCGTGAGTTTGAGTCGAGTTGAGCTTACTTTTAAAGTTTTCAAGTTCGAGTCGAGCTCAGCAATACTCGAGTTCGACTTGGCTCGTTTAACATACGACGTCGTTTGGTTTAATTTTTTTTAAAAAAAATACAAAATTGACGGTTTTTTCTGGTTTTCAGCCGGTCCGGTTCAGCGGTTCCGGTCGGTTCACTAGTAGCAGTTCAACCGGTGTAAATTGAACCGGACTAGGCAACGGTTCCCGGTTGAACCGACCGGTCCGGTCTGATTTTCAAAACAATGATTGTAAAATCAAATTTGATATTTTTAACAATCTAGTCATTACTCCAAGTTGAATTATATATGAGAGTGTAGCGATCAATGTTCAAAAATTGATGCTCTCTCATATGTAATTCCACTTAAAGTAATGACTGGATTGTGAAAAATATAAGTGTTATTTTACAACAGAGTAATCTAACATCTGAAATCATCGATGATGTCTCCGTGAGAAGAATAAAATAGCAAACATAACAAAAATAATTGATGACTGAGTTATAAAATCACACTTGATATTTTTCACAATCCAATTATCATTTCAAATGGAATTACATATGAGAGAGATCAATTTTTGAACATACAAATATTTAAAGATCGTTGCTCTCTCGTATGTAATTTCACTTGGATAATGATTAGATTTCAAAAAATATATGTGTGATTTTACAACATAATTAATCTGACACCATAAATCATCGATGATGTCTTTGTAAGAATAAGAAAAATAACAAGCATAATCGGAAATAGTAACAAATATATATGAGGCATAAAAACAACATAAATTCTTACCTCACCAGGAATGTCAACTTCATGGGCTTCACTAAACACTCGACTCAAAACTTCTAGTTGCTTCATCTGGAAAGTAATAGCCTTGTCTGAAAAACCTTGTGGTTGAAAACTGTCGCGGCCGTCTTTCGGTTGGGTCTCGGAATTGGGTTTCGACTTAGATTAAATGGTTAGAGTCGCCATCGACCATTTTAAAACGAATTTAGGTGGGTCGGACACCATCTTACCTGATATACGTTGTACCAGAAACGTGTCGGGTTCGGGAGTCGGTTACGGTCAAGGAAGGATTAGCACCCTTGAACCGCCCTTTCAGTACCAATTAATTTATCGATTGTCTTTAATTGCGAAAATTGAAATTGAAATTTAAAAACCCGATTTAAATTATTTACCTTCGGTTGAAATTACCACCAAAGAAAAAAATAAACAAAATGGTAAATGACAAATAAAATATTGAATGCTAAAAAAAGAAAAAAATGAATAATAAAACAAATAAATAAATAAATAATAATGTATTATCATTTCTTAATTCTTATTTATTATGACAAATGAACATGAGAAACACCAACATGTAAAATAAGCACAACAAATATAAAACTCATCCATTTCAAAACAATCAGCGTTGGTATTTTATAAAGCAGGAAAAAAAACAACAATTTGTTCATTGCATATCATGGGGTTATCCTGCTCATTGTTCAAAGGCATTGAATATCCATCTAGTTATAAAATTCCGCAAATAAACACATTCTAAAACAACAAAAGCAATTAAAAAAAATCTTTCAAACTGCAAATGGAAATTAAAGTTCGTGTATTCAGCTCAGCTACAAATCCTTAACGCTTCTTCTTTCTTACTTTTGCACCACTGGTATAACACCGGATTTGGATTTAAATGTTTTGGGATCGTGTGAAGCAACAACACACTGGGTGCTTTGTGTTTCACTCTGAAATGGGTTCCACGTTTTTCTCTGTGCATATTCCCCCGTGGGAACCAATGGTTCTTTTGGAAGTAAAAAGAGAGATGAATGAGTGGCCTCCCTTCAATGATCTGTGGTCTCCCTGTGGCCTCCTGGATTTTGATTTTTATAGTCCTTATGAAGAGGACAAAGTAGAGATGTTGGCCCCCCACTCCCATGGATGCTTGCTGCTGAGTTATAGGAGAAGATAGGTGTGCTTGCTGCTGAGTTCTAGGAGAAGATGAGTGTCCACGTTCCCACGAATAGAAGCATTTTGAGATGGTGGGGGTCCAATTGGGGCCTAAAAAATAATTATATATAAATTAATAATAATAATACTAAAAATAATAATAAGTAATTATTATAATAATAGTAATAACAATATAAAAAAAATTTAAATCCGGTAAAAAACGAGTGTCTACAAAAACCTTCAAGAAAATATGATTTTTCTTAAGAGCTGCTTCACAAGCCTCCCTACTTAGTAGTGGAAAGTATTGCATGAAGCAAAATTCAATGGATATAATTCTGAAGCAAATGTTGAAACACATAGGAATGACAGTACTTCAAACTTCGCAACTCCAACAAGCGCTTGAAAGATGTGTGCAGCCATTGCAGGTACTTTGCTTTTGCAAGCTCATTCCAAATCGCATATACCATAGAACCAGCTGGATTTCCACCCTTTACAAGGTCCAATACCTACAAAGCAAAATAAGTCTTTAAATGAATTGAGAATCTAGAAATCAAGAAATACATTGGTTACTTGAAACTGAACAAGTCTTTGTACCTTTTGTAGTTCATTGATTCTTTGAGCAATATCAAGGAATAAATCTTTAAATAAATTGAGAATTTGGATATCAAGAAATACATTGGTTACTTGAAACTGAATAAGGTCCAACGCCTACAAAGCAAAATAAATCTTTAAATAAATTGAGAATTTGGATATCAAGGAATACAACAAAAATGATAAGTGATCTTAGTATGAGCAATATGAGTTTTTCCGACAAATGTGTGCTACATAGAGTCAGGAATGGATAGAAGGAGACAGATGAGAGTAATCATCTCGTACGCTTCTAAAATTTTAAAAATTCATCTCTTTGACATAAGATCATACATGCATATAATAATATCTAGTGATTTGTTATTTTTCATATGTATATTGTGGGTGAAAAAGTGAGATATGTAGGCCGAGTTTTTAATTATTAGAATGGGCAAAGGTAGTCAAAAGTAGAGGAATTAGCAATTATGTCGGTGTCTGCGTGGATTTAGGGGTTAGAACTTAAAAGCCATCTTCCACCGCAATTCACTCTTCTTTGGTTGGTTATTGCCATTGCTCTAGAATTGTTTTTTCAAACATGAAGGAATAGATATGTATATGAATTGTTGGTAATATATACGAGAAGGAAAAGAAATTGTATAGAATTAAATATGAAAATTAATATTAACCAAGGCTATATTTTTATTAATGTAATATAGATACAATTGTCTAAAGAAAAGAAAAACGAATGTTAAATGCGTATCTTAAAAGAAATAAAAGACGAAGTCAATGGGTTGTTTTAAATAAACACGCTGTTTTTGTCTGTTCCAAAATTTGGTGATATCAGTCTCTCCTTTTTGGATTTCCAATGAAGAGAATGTATTCTAATTTTCTCTAATAAATTCAAATGATTTAATCTAAATGAATAAATACGTCTAATTCCCGAGTTTAAAAAAACAAGAATTCTGTCTAATTTTAAAAGAAATTTAATCTAAAACATTTATATTTAAATTAATATAATATGTAAATATTGAGAGTGCTCGACTCAAACATTCATATCACTTGCTAAAAGAGAAAGTGTAGCAGGGAATTGTGTTCAGCATCACACCAGGAGTTTCAGTCCTACACATTAATAAGCTTGGAAAGAAGAGTAAGGTATTTTGCAATTGGGGCCACTGACTGATACATTCAAGGCTAATTGCAGTAAGTTGGATGGACCAGAATTCCCCAAACGACTCATAGTTTATATGGACACGACAAAGGGTAAAGCAGATGCTAGAAGATGAAGAATCTCAACACTGGTGATGAAGGATGATTATGCAACAAAGGGGTGAAACTTGCATGTGAATGGTGCAGGAAACTATTGGATGGAAACAAAATACATAGAATCTGAAGCATTATTGAAATTCGAATAATAATAAGAAAGTTGTCAAATGCGGGCAAAAAGTTATTGGGACCAAACAAAAGAGATTCCATTTGTGTTTAGTTAACTTATTAAAACTGAGAATCAAAACTCTGATGAAGGGCAAGAATTTACAACAACAAAAAAAAAATGGGATGCATTACGGTGCATCGTTTCCACTCGGTTATGCGGTATGGGTAATATTAACAGCCTTTCTCAATCTGTCAAGGATACCATTAGCCTTTCTCTTGGCTCTACAAGTTCCATCTTGAGCTAACTTAGATATTGTTCCATGGCTACTCTCCTCTTCCCTTAATGCCTTCCATTTGGCTCGATCACTAAGACATATGGCGTGGAGGATCGCGATGCAGTTTTCATTGTTTCGTTCGCAAGTGCTTTCCCGAACGATTCGAAGCAAGCAAGGAACAGCTCCGAATTCCACCATTTCATCGACGGCCCTTTGATGTGTTGAAAGCATTGCAAGGATAGCCAATAACTCGTTCACAAGCACACCATCCATTATCATTTTCAAAATTACCCTGACAACACCATCACTCACCGCTCTTGCCTTGTTCTCATGGAGAATGCATAGGTTAAATATAGCAGAAGCAACATCTTTCAGCACTAATGGACGCCCCTCGTTGAGAAGCTCAATCAGAGGCTTTAAAACACCTGATTTCCCAATGAGTTCCTTGTTGGATTCAAGAGCAGATAAGGTGAAAAGGGCAGCAGCTGCATTGCTCTTGGTTTCAATAGTTCCATATCTCAGAGCTTCCATAATAAGAGGGATGACCATCGGGGTTTCGGCAACCAGCTTCTTATTGCTGTCATGAATTGAAAGGTTCAACAATGTCGTAATCACATCTTCCTGGAGATCAGTGTGAAGAACACCGCTTTGAGATTTTGCTTCCGAAAGCGGGGCGAGCAGTCGAGGAATGGCGTCGACGGATTCCCCGAAAAGGGCACGGAACGAAGGCATGTTCTTCGTCAACAACCGCAGTTCCTTCGCCGCTTCCTTCTGTTGAGGAAGCACGGCGGCGGACAACTTATCTAGCAAAGAAAAGAAACGGTGACGCTCTGATTCAGTTACACCCTCTTCAACACGACACTGAACCGGGATTTGAAACTCAGTTCCTTGACTCTCACACCACTGTGATATGAATTCATTGATGAGGAGATTCGGAGTTAAAACTGTGTGCGAAAGAACTTGTTGGGTTCGAGGGCAAGTCCGATTACCCGTTTTCAGCCATTTCTGGATAAATGGTCTATCATATGTCTGCAAATCAACAAACGGAACCATATCTAAGAGTGAACATCATTTAAAAAAAAAACAGAACAAAAATTGCAATATACCTGGCCTGAAGCTAAAATAACGGGATCTCTCATAAGCTTTTTAGAAAGAGGACACATAAACTGTTTGGGACAGGACAGCGGTTCATGTAATTTCAAGGACGACGTCATGGCGGTCGCCGTCGATCGTGTATTGAACTTAACCGCTCTCAAAGCAGAAAGAACATCTCTGGCTCGATCGATGGAGTGGAGGCTGTAATCCTCATCGTCGACGATGGTCTTAACCAGCCTGTGGAGTTCTTTCTTCAACTCCGCCGCCCTAGCTCTGGCCGTTGGATCGAAACTCAATACACCGGTTTTAGCCATTCGATTCTTTACGCCTTCACCACCACCACCACTCAAAAAGATAAAAAGAAATGGAAGGGAAGGCCTTAGTTAATTATTATGGAAAGAGAAAGAATGAGCGAATGAGAATACTGAGTTTGATTGGCAGTGGGATATGCTTTTATAACACCATTAATTATCCCTAATTTTGCATTAAAATAAAAAAAAATCCAATTACTTAACTTTGAACAGATACACGCATCACGTGGGAATTTAGATTAGATTTCAAGTACAAATATTGAGTTTACGCCGTTCCATATTATAAAAAATAGTCAAACCGTATTACCCTTTAAATTTAGTGTTTTAAATAAATGAGGGAAACTCGAACCCACAATTCTCTGCTTTTTAAATAAGTTTGATTTTATTTTAAAACTATTATTTAATAGTGAAATTATCTTTTACCAAGTGATTTTAATGTCTAAATTAAAATATTATTTCTGGAATTAAGAAATTGAATAACAAAATGGGGATGGGGTCCAAAATCACGAACTCCACGGCGCTCTACGGCTGGCGGTGGTCTTCTTTTGTTAAGGAAGAAACAAATATAATCTCGTGATGATAAATTATGAGATCCATTGATGTTAGTAAAATCATACATTTGAAAAACAAAATAAGAAGGGAAAAGAGGGCACACAAAGGAAATTCAATGAGGGGAGCCCCTCATCGTTTGTCGTTGTTCACCTTTCTCCCTCGGTTTTTATTTAGATTTTTAAAACAATATCAGAATTAGATTAGAAGGATCCTTTTTTATTCAACCTAAATTCATTAATTAATAAATCAAATACATATCGATTAGATAAAGAAAACTGTGGGTCCTTTCTCGTTTTCCTTTTTAAAAATTAAAATTTTGGGTAAATTACTATTGAAACCACTCAACTTTTACTTTGTTTCTGTTTTGTTCAGTTAACTTTAAAATTAAAATTTTGTTTAAAAATTTTACCATACAATTTTTTAATTTTATTTTTTATCACTCAACCTTTTGTAAACACAAAAAAAAAGTACATTGCGTTTTAGGTAGTTGTATTTATAAATTTGACTAAATATCTACCCCTTTTGTTTTTTTCAACTTGATTTTTCTTAAAATCAACAAAATTTAAATAAAATTTTTTGACATAATCTTGACTTAATTTGCAGTCTCAATTTGATAATCATATAATCGAGAAAATTTATTTTTCTTCTCCTTCTCGACCTCTACATAGTTTTAAATCTAAAATTAAATACTCAAGTATCAATGAATCAAAGAAAGATTAAGGATATGGTCTTAAAAGGAAGGTTTTAATGACTTTTTGTATAAAATGAAAAGTTTTTAGAATTAGGTGACCAAGACAAAACTAGTTGACCCCAAAGCTTTGAAGGATTTGGACGTGAGTGGGGCCAATAAGGGCTGTCTTCCAAAATTGGAGGCTGCTGTTGTTTCCACGTGTTGTTTCAAGAATGCTTCCAATAAGGGGTTCATTACTTTCTAAATATATAATGTATCCACGTATTTTAATTTCATCCATCAATATGGCATTTGGGGTCTAACAACGTAAATTCTAATTTGTCGTGATACGTGAATTGCCCTAATAGTGTCACGTGTCACAATTATAGAAAAAAATGAAATTGAGAAACTTTGAAATAATATAATATTGTTCTTCTTTAAAAAAATTCCAATTTCCCATAAGTAGAAATTGTTAAAAAAACAAAACTGAAATGCTATGAGGTTGGCTCAATTAGGAAGCTATTGTAAATAGCCCAATCTTCTTAAACACAAGCCCAATTTCTCTCCCGCTTGTTAACATACTACAATTTATTTTCATTTTTTAAATACTAACAAATAAGGTATCATCGTACTATTAGACTTGTTAAATTATCCAAAAACAAAGGGAAAAAACTATTCAACCAGTAACCCTATAAATAAACCGAACGCACACAAACGGATGTATGTTTATGTTCGTTTATTTAATAAATAAACGAATATAAATAAACACGAACATAACGAACAATTTTTTTTTGTTCATGTTCGTTCATTAAGGAATATAGCTTGTTCATGTTCGTTCATTTAATAAATAAACGAACATAAACGAACACGAACGAACGAATATAAACGAACACAATAAACGAACAACACAAACACACACAAAAAAAATTTATTCGACACAACAAACGAATGTAAAAAAGTAAACAACAAGAATAAAAATTTAAAATTCATTAATAACCTGTAATTTTAGAGTTAATTTGTTCGAATACGACAAAACATACATAAATCATAAATAAGCTATATGAACATAATAAAGTCTTAAAATTAATTTATTCAACAAAACAATATTCTCGAAATCCAAACAACTTCAATAATCTTCGTAATATATTCAACTTGCCCTCTGTTCGAACATAAATGAACGAACATAAACGAACATATAATCGAACGTTCACGAACATAAATGAATGAACGAGCCCTTTGTTCATGTTCGTTCATTTAATTAAACGAACGCAAAATCTTGTTCATGTTTGTTTATTTAATAAATAAACGAACTTCCCGCCGCACGATTCATGAACGGTTCACTGAACGTTCAGTTCATTTACAGGCCTATCAACTAGAAATTCTTTAATTCAATATTTTCCCAAAAACAAATGATTTTCATTTCATTTTTCTAAAAAAAATATTTTTTCCACTTTACCCTTTCTTGTGGGTTAGAATAGGTTGTAAATAAGACGAGATCGATCGTAAGTTACTCGAGCTCAAATTAGTTAAAATTGGTCAACAATCAATTTGACTGGACTTGATTTAAGTTCTTAACAAGTCGAAGTGAACTACATGATACTCGATTCTAAAAACTCTCAAGTAAATACAAAAAACAATATACTAATTTTTTAATATTTTCAACTAAATTATTAATAATATTAACATTTACTTTTTTTTAAATATAATATAATATTTTCATGTATTTAAGGTTTATGTTCGAGTTTGAGTTTGAACTTGAGTTTAAACTTCAATCGAACTAAGTTTGAGAATTTTTTGAGTTCAAGTTTTTTCGAACTCAAGTCAAGCTTCAATTTTAAGCTCAAGTCGAGTGGAATTCAGTTTTCAACCTTTTGAAGTTGAGTAAGCTCAACCAGCAATATAAAAATGGTAAAAGAAAAATGGGGAGGTAAGGTGGTGAGTATCGTGAGCCAGCAAGCTGGCCTCCACTGCCACTGCCTGTTGTATTGGAAGCCTTGGAATTTTATGTGCTTAAATTAGGTAGTAGTTTCAAACTGTTGGGCTGGTGATTAGTGTTGTTAACAACTGAATTGATGACAATTATAAGTAACTTGTTCTGGGCTTTGTTTGTTAATTACAGTGGATCAACGATGGGATTGGTAGCTATGACCCTTTTTGCCGAATTTGATAGGGCACATGCATCACACAACATTGTTGAAAAAGTTGCTCTTTTTGGTTACTGCTGATAGGATTTATCGAGAATGCTTTGCATATATTCAATGCAGCTTCTGTGAAATTAGAATTTCCCTATAAAATAAATAAAGCACGTTACACCTTTTACCAATATTATTTTTAATAGTTTGGGTGATTATAAGATAGTATCAACTTATATTTTTCTTAATCAATTGATAAAATATATACCTTGTTGGTGCAACTGTCCCAATTTGACTTAAAAAATAAATTCTTCACCTGCACTCGACCCAACTCGATCCTAGGAGCACTCCATACGACCCTAAATTTAATATGATCTTTGAGGTGAAAATCTACATCCAACTCGATCCGATCCAATACACACACATATATATAATTCTTATTTTTATTAAGTACAATAAGGACCTAAATGAAATATATATATATATATATGAGTATTATTGTAATTAATTCTAAATATATAAGAGATAATTATAATATTATATCATATTAGATTTTTCGCCCTAAACATTAAATTGAGCTGATCCCATCCATAATTAGTGAGCACACATCAGGGACCAATACTGAAGAAGAAATATAGCATGAATGGAATGCAGCTATGCTTGACTATCCCCATAATTATAAATCTTTGGATACAGCTTGGAAACTCCATTGGCAACTCAATATCTAGTTCTCTGCTTTCACATTTTTCTTTCTTTTCTGTATATATTGCTGGTAAGATCTAACAGCTTGAAGACCCAGCTGGCCACAGATTCTTGACATATATATAATACAGACCGTTGAATTTTGACCATTCCTACCCACCCATGCATGCAAATCCATTCATGGTTTTATCATATATCCTCACGTTTATTTAATATTTTGTTTAAAGATTGAGCGATAAATGCATGGAAACCTCGATTTAAAGTGTGATATGTAAAGCGATAAATGCACGAGGGTTGGCAAAGACCTAATTCCTCATTGATGAAACCATTCCCTTTGAATCCAATAAAAAAACATAAACAAAAATGTTCCAAGAAAGACATCTGCAGCTACCCTGTAGTTGAGCATGTGTGTATGTCGGCTCTGTCAGCCATGCATGGACATAACATTTGAATTTATGTGTGTATATAGATAAAGATGTAAATGAATCGAGTTTGAACGAATAAAGTTGTGTTTATGTTTGAAAGTGTATAAAGATAGGGGTGTAGATTCACCATTAGGCCTTATGTTTCCTAGACTTCATAGTTTGAACTTAAAAGTTTATCTTATGTTCAATTTAGTCTCTATCTTCACCAATATTAAAAATTTAAAAGAGTAAAAGGATAACTGAGTAAACGAGGTTATAAACGAGTCAATCAACTAACTTATAAAAGAGTCGATAAATGAGTTTGTTAATAAACATAAATGAACCGAATACACATCTATTTGTATTCGTTCGTTTATTAAATGAATCGGTACTTTTATTGTTTTTATTTTAAAGAGAGCTTATAATTGGTTTGTTTGTCAGTAATTTATTGGTTCAGTTAAGAAATAAGATTCTTAAAATAGACTGTCCAAACTCCCACGACAATTGCAGCTCATAATTTCGGACACAAACAAGAAGGCAAACGCAAAGACAAACTACTTAGTTTATTTTTCTATCGGTTTTTAAGTTAAATTATGGCATATATTTTTGATCCTTCAACATTTAAATTTGAGTTTTTTTATACGT